TATTAAGGATATGTGTATGGGAAAGAGTTATATATATAAATATATATAAAACGTTATATAGAAGTTTTTATTGAATTCTACCAGATTATTAAATTTTTCCTTTGTAGTTTAGAAAACCACACACACTTCATTTGACTTGGATTGTTTTAATAATTGCTGAATAACGCAAGTATAACAAAAGTATAACGTAAAGGTTAAAAAATTATAATAAAAATTCATTTTAACATTAAATTACAAGTACACAACTTCTCTAAACAAAATCATCAATAAATTTAAAATATTACTTTCCGTACAATATATATATACATATAACTTCATTTCATACAGTTATCAATATTTACTAAATAAAGTTTCGAATTTCTTTATTTCTGTTCAACTTTAACACATTGTAAAGCCACACTGACTACTTTAGAGATAAGAATAGTAACCACAACAAGTAGAGGAGTGACATAACATAACTAGAGAAAGATAATATCGGTTATATACAAATACAACTGAGACTGAAAGAGATAGCCACTATACAGAAAATATAACAGGATCATCTATCGCATAGCGCATGCGTTACGCACTTCGTTCTTGGCCGTTTCATCAGTAAGAAAGAGAGTATCTTATCTCCAATCAAACCTGTAATGTTTCTTTCGGCAACTTCACTTTCCTATAAAGATCACATTGTATAACATATCCACGACAATGTTGTCCGTGGAATGTTCTATATCAATATGTAACTAGGATGATAACAATTTAGTTATATTATATAGCCAACTTCTTATTGTTAGGTCTATATCCAAATATATGGGAAAACTTGAAAAATGTCACTTGAAAATTTCATGTTCACTTTTCATTCAGTTTTTAAAGCCGAATCAACACCTAGTAGGCCTCATGTTTATTATTTGTGACAATAGAAAATATTTAATAAATCCTTGAACAATGATTAAGGATTTGCAATGTGAAGTTGTTATAATGGTTAAAATTCAAGTATCAAGCAGAGTTTTACACCTTAAGGTCATGTCCAGTCACTCTATCCATTAGAGGTCACGTGATAAATTTCGCCACAGATGAACTCCATAGCAAAAATACCAAGAATTATTAGCTAAGGAACAACAGGGTATAACATGATTCTATAATGGCAGTAAAAGTTCACATTATTTTTAACAGTTAACCAACTTTCAAGTGCTAACGTTTTCTTTAATCTTCTTAAAGAGAATGGAAGCATCTTGCTAATTAATATAACAGACTTCATTATAATCATATTATCTTAGAGCTGAGTGAGAAGTATGTCGAACATAGATCTGTTTTATTTTCATCTAGTTGAACTTTTAAATTTCTAAATAACTGACTTGTATAAATATTTTCATAATTAGTTGTTTGTTTGTTCGTACACAAAGCTACATCATGGGCTATCTGTGCTGTACACACCGCGGGTATCAAAACCACGTTTCTTGAGTTATACGTTTATTCACAGATTTACCGTAGTACCTCTGGCGGGCTTCACAATTAATACCTCAGGTGGTATTTATCACATGACCTAGCTTATTCATCGATAAATTCTTGAAACTTTAGCTACATTCCCGTAGTGCTCATTAATAATTTTGAGTGATAGTTCTTTTCTTTTTACACTAGAATTTTAAGAAGATTAAAGAAAACGTTAGCATTTGAAAGTTGGTTAACTGTTAAAAATAATGTGAACTTTTACTGCCATTATAGAATCATGTTACACCCTGTTGTTCCTTAGCTAATAATTATTGGTATTTTTGCTATAGAGTTCATCTGTGGCGAAATTTATCACGTGATCTCTAATGGATAGAGTGACTTGACATGAACTTGACGATAAATTCTTGAAACTTTAGCTACATTCCCGTAGTGCTCATTAAT